TTTAAATACTTTTTTTTAGCTTTTTTAAATCTTTGTTTTTTAAACTTTTTAAAAATCTTTTGAAAGCTGTGTTTTTGTAGACGTTCCACTGAAATTGTCATTGCACACTTAAACAATTGAACGCTTGAACGAGTGGGCCCAGGGAGGCGGGCCTTCGGAGTCTACGCGCAGTGCTGTGTCCTCACTCGCGCATTTCTCAATCATCATCAGCGATATCAGCCGGCTGGCCGGCGGTGTCGCGTCGATGAAAAAGCTTGAGTGCAGTAGTCGAAGCGGCAGCGGGCTGCAGCAGACCCACTTCTCAAACAAATCGTTTTGCGTAACTGGGGCGGCGGCCAGCGGCTGCAGCGCGAGCCCGCAGAGGAGGGTCCTTCTCTTACAGGCAAATCAGCCCGCCGAGTCGGTGGGAGACAATACAGCACTAATATCCTTTAGTCATAGACAAATCGTAACTTACCAAGAATAGGAATAGCTTTGCTGAAGACATTACAAAACCATATTTGATTAAAAACCTCACTAAGCAGAAAAGTTTTCTTGTCCATACTAAGCAAGCATTGCCTAGTCAGACTTAGAAGCATATCAGTCAAGCATAGTTTGTGTACCTTAAGTGAAACGTGCTTCTCGCTAAACTATGCTGGATGAAGATGTCAGTTACTGCTCCTCAATCAGGCATAGCTTAACAGTCTGCATTACGTAGATTACGCACGGGCTGATCTGCCATAGCTGGTGAGCGGGGTCGTTCAAAAAATGGGTGACGTTTGGGGGGCAAAAAAAAATATTATGGGAACCCAGGAACCCGAAAGAGTCACATGGGATCATCATTGGAGTCCATAGGCACCCCATGATAAACGTGACCTCTAGGGGAAAGGGGGGGTACAAATATTAAAGGAGCGCTACACAGACTCCAATGGTGGTCCTGATCGGGCTCCATAATATTTCAACCCCCATCCCTTGAGGGAGGGGTCACGTAGTATCGAAACCCCTACTAAGTGACTCGCAGCTGTCAGCTGTCAGCCCGGCGAGCCGCGCAGTGAGCCATCTCCTGCCTCGACCTCTATCCAACGATCAGTAGCAGCGACGAGCCGAGGCAGAGGGAGGGAGGGTGCTGCGTGACCTTTCAGTTTCGGTGCGCCACCACCTGCCTCCCCCGGCGCGCCCGCCGCCGGTACTGGCCAGGCCGGGCCGGGCCGAGCCACGGGCAGCTGCGGCCACTGCATGTCGGCACACAGTGAGCGGGGCACACCGGCCAGGGCGGCACAGGAATGAGATTACTGCACTGCATACCCACCAGTGCCCACCAGCTTCCCCGTTGCATAGAGCAGCGTGGCCGGGGCTGGCCGGGGCTGCAGTAACGCGATACTGTGGCCTCATTGGCCGGCCGGCCAGGCGGCCCAGCCAATAGAGGGGAGGCGGGCAGCATGGGGGCGAGCATGTCGTGGATGCAAGCGGGACACGCGCGCGTCACGCCGTCACACTCGCGGGAGGGCGGAGGGAACGGGACCGCGAAAACGAGACAGCCAGCCGTCGTCGTCGCGGGGCCGGGGGAGGGAGTCGAACGCAGGCGCGCGTGGGGGAGGCGCCGCCAGGCCGTCGTGTAGCACACACTTGCGATCCGTTTATTCAGATACAAGAGCGCGGGGCGTGGCGGGCGCGGGGAACGCCCCGGAACGCCTCTCACGCGCTGCCAACTTAAGCCGCGACCGGCCACTGGCCACGCCGCCGTGCAGCCGGGAGGGAAATAAATAAGGCAATCAGCGCGCGGCCGTTTTCAAAGGTGAACCTGTTTCCCGCGCCGCGGAGGGAAGGCCTCTACAAATATAATAACGGTGATAACCACAGCAATGTGAGGTTTGCGTTTCTTGCTGTTTGTTTTATCCTGTCACACGCTCGGCCCCACCACACAGAGCCCGGGGCGCACGGTAGGCTGCCGCATGCCAAACACATTAGCGTGGGTCTTTATCCCGGGTGCATTTAGTGCAGCGCGGGTCCCTTGGAGAGGGGGAGGGGAGTGGGAGCCCGGCCCCTTCCTGGTGCGTGCGCATGCTACTACAACCGGCGATACTGCCATACTGCGCGCTTTGAGCATTGCCCCGTGCGCCCACATAGCTCGCGCTTTATTGAGTCGGGATAAACATCGCGCACGTGGTATTAGAGGGTAGAACAGGCGCAGGTTTAAGTCCTGCTGACCAGGGGGGGGGGGGGAGATGGAGGGGTGTCTGTGGGTTGCTTTCAAACAGGGAGTTTGTATCGGATGTTGCGGGTTTGCATAACCTGGGGGCTGGCCGGGCGAGGGGTGAATATCACCCTCCCCCCCTTTTCCCCATAAAACTTTGGGGGGTAGATGGTGTCTCTTTTTTCTGTTATTTTTATTTTTGCGACTGAACTCCGTGACCCATGTTTTTATTATTAATTAACTTGCAAAATGAAATGCCAAATGAACCTTTACGCAGCAACCTTTTGAGATCGACTTCGTTCAAATAACGTAACGTCGTACTTCAGAGATCGTTTATCGACAAATCGTCAAGGGGGTGCTCGCACGAACGCACTGCCGCGTGTCTTCAAACTCGCCCGCCCGCGACGGCTCCGAAATGCGGGACAGCGCGAACCTGTAAACTTGTGAAATGAAATGTTTGGTGAAGCGTCCAGCTCGTGCTGCTGGTGCTGCTGCACTGCTGCAATGGTGCAGTCCAGCAGGCACCTCACCTTGCAACACATGCATGCAGAGGAGGAGGCGGGCGACAGTGCCATGTGTGTCTCCTGGACAGAGCTATGAACACGAAAAGGCAGAGTTGCAAACTTTGCGAGATAGGTCTCAATATTTCAAGCACAGCGGATTTCTATTATCTAGCAGACTTTCAGTAATTGCACGCCGGCTTTTTTCGTAGAGCCATCCGTTTTGCCTTTTTTGCAGGGTGGAAGTAGTGCGAACATGTAGGCAGTCCCGAGCATTCCACGACGCATCCTGCGAGGTGCATCATCTCTCCGCTCTCTGCCAACCACGCCTTTAGGTGTTTTAGGGTTTGTGCGGGCCGCAGGGAGGTCGGGCCACCCCGCCGCACCTCAGTCTCTCCCAGCCGTAGAGTAGAAGTGGGTGGAGAGTGATCAGAGGGTTTAGGTATTGCAGCAGTTGCACAGGCCAGAGAGGGCAGGTGGGATAAGGGCAGAGGTTATCGACTGTGTCCACTGTCAAGATGGAGTCGGCGAGGCCTGGCGTGGCGTGCGCGGCCGAGGCTGGCACCGTCACGATACATTCGTCTGACTGACTGGTTGACTCGACCCGATTGGGGACTACGTTGGTCGTCGGAGCATGATTTCCCAAACCCTTTTATAGCTTGGTTTGTTTGCTCATTTCAAGGAGTTTCGGGTTCTCTAAAACTCCGACAGAGCGCTTGTCAGTTTTTTTTTTCTTTTTCCATAGTCCTGTATCAGTTTGAAATATGTCTCGCGCGTGGAAACTACCCGCGCAGCAGGGTACGCGCTCTACTGAGCATGGCGCGGTGGCGGTGCGGAGTGGGTGGACTTGCAACGCACCGCAACATACCGCAAACTACTACTCCGCATTGCCTAATCCGCGTTGGCCTATCGATGTAAGAAAATAGTATGAGCCGAGCCGTATACCACGGCGGTGCTTCTGCGCAGATTTGCACATTTTCCAGTCAGGCGGGTTGGAGAGGCCATTAGATGCATAGCCTCGTTATAGGGGTCTGGGTCTGGTCTGGGTCTGTCAAACAAAATGTGTGCAGCCATCAGGTATACGACGACATGGCGTGCATACGTACTCTGAACTCCTTCAAGTTAAGCTGCGAGGGAGTTAGAGACAACCACCAGTCATGAAGCCTACTCCCCCAAGTGTTCTGGATGATCCTGATCCTGGCCCAGGAGTGAGTCGCTGATCAAACCAGCCAATCCGAGTCGTGGTCGCCTCGTTTGGGGTTGAAGTTGAAGCCTTGGCGAGCAGTGGTGCTTGGCCGTGTCCGTCTCGACCGTTGGGTGGGCGCCAGACTAGGTGCAGAGCCGGGCGACCACCCCACACCGGCGCCGCCTCACTACGTGGTCCCACGTAAGTCGGCTCCCGTCGTAAACGACTGAGGGGGCCGTCACCGCTTCGCGCTAGCAGAGGGCGTTTATACGGAGCTCGCGAATTGAGCCGTCAGAGGGGGTCTGAGCCGCGTAAGCCCCGGCCCAGCTCGTGCCTCAACAACGGCTAAGTGGATGTCCTTAAGCGTGCTAAAGCGCCCCTTTTCCTTTCACAGGCCGGCCGACGCGGTGTCATGAACTAGAACAGACATTGGCCTTGCCAGCTTCACCGACACTTTTGTGACATTAACCTCGCGTAAAATGTGAGACAGGCGCTCATATGAGCGAAAAGGAATTTTATGTCCAGGTTGTAAAAAACATCTGAAGATCTTTTTCTTTTATTTTTGGTGGGTGAGACGACAAAAGTTTTCTTTGTAAAGAGTGACGAAAAAGTTGTGCGCTCGTCTAGTCACTGCCACAGATTTCGCTGGGCGAGTACCAAGAAAAATATGAATGAACATGGGTTCCCACGC